GACTAGTTCTCTAGTCTTCCTGAAGAACATTGGATGTTGGCTCACTTTTGCTCTGTTGTCTGTCAAGATGCACGTGCAGTACATTCTGGATAGCATCTGACGTGCAGCGGCTTCATTTTTTTCTGCATGAAAATTAGCTTAACACCACTGGTTGATATACAGCCGCAAACCATGACAGAGCCTCCACCCTGTCTTACAGATTTTAAATCAGAATCAAAATCAGAAATACTTTATTAATCCCAAAGGAAATTATAGGTTACAGCAGGCAGCACGCTAATGGCGCATGCACACTTACAAAGGAGCCCTCTGACCAAACTTTACACAAACATCACATTGGGAAGACATGTCAGAGAGGTAGGCTGATAGGAAAAAACAACGAAATTCATAACATGAGGTGAGAGGAAGAGGGGGAAAAAACTCCACTCAGACTGAGCTGCTAATGGGAGAACAGTTTGAGAACAGAAAAAAACACCCCAGCACAAAAAGCCTGTATGTCTGTCAATACACCTTAGAAACACATGAGAAGAAACACTCAGTGTTGTACCTTATCCATACCTATTGATGTAAATTTGAACCAAAAAGTTTAAACTTCATGCTGCTAATTTTCAGTCTGGTGAAGTAGAGGGGACCTTTTGATTTTCCCCAATCAAATCATATAATGTTGGTTCCCTTACCTAACCAAAGACTAAGTGAAAGTGAAACTAAACTGGGAGTGAAATCAGAATTAATCCTAGAAGTAATGCAACATGAAGTCTGAAAACGATCCAAAGTAATAATGTCTTAATGCATGCTCAATAATCCACATTAGGAATTCCCAGAAAGTTTATTCTGTTCGCCTCAACATTTCTTCACTGATCCAAGTGACTGCATCCATCTCAGCTGATTGCAGCTTTCCTCAACCACATAAACCGTTGCAAAATGATCTGAACCTAGCACCACTAACAATGGGCCGTGGCGTCGATTTGGCAGTCGTCAATATGCAAATTGTCATCAGTGGCCATCACATGGGGAATGGCTGCGACCACACTGGACCATAAGAACCCCATAAACCATTGCAAAACTATCCAAACCATTGAAGGTCATGTGACATCAATGCCAAAAAGTTATAAAAGCGTTCACTGTGAGACCTAATATCCATCTATCCATCCATCTATCTATCTGCAAATATGAAAGCTGTTTTATAATAAATGCTGTCTTTTAGTTATATTCTTCTGATTGAACTTCAACCAACAACATTTTAAGGCCTGAGGAACTCAGAAAAAATTCTACAGGCCATCTGTCACCATCCATCCATTCTGTTGTGCTTATCCAACCATTTACTATCTATCTGCAGAACAAATAATACAAATCTCTTTATGATCTGCATTAATACTTGTTAATACTTGATATGTGGAATATTTACTTTATTTCTTACATTAATTTCACTGAAATTGATTTGTGTTGGTGAGAAATGCAATTTTACTGGCAATGGGGGTGGAGCCAGACTGATTTGGACTGATTTTTTGGTTTTATCAGCATTAACTGTCACACTTGGTTATTAGAGCTATCTGACATCTTTTTCTCTGTGTGGACTTTCCCTTGTTGAACCTCTATCTTTACATCTCCTACACAGTTCGTCTTTTTGTCTGTCTTGCATTTGCAAGCATGCCCACACACACGCACACGCACACACACACATTACTACTTAATATGCTTTCCTGTTATTTCACTGCAATGCTCTTGAGAATTTAATCAACGCTCTGGCCAGAAAAAAGCAACGGTTCATCACCATCAGCGTGATGAGAGCTGCATGCTTGTGCACATTTTTTGCAAGTGCATGAGTGAGAAAATTACCTGCTTGTTGTTTTACTGGCACTATGTTGTCATACTCGGGCCCCATAGGAAAAACGCCTGTAGTTGGAGGAAAAACCCTTCGTTATAACAGGTTTAAGCAGTTATGCACGCTCTCTTCCTTTTTGGTGGCACTTAGTACAAACAGACGCAGACTGTTCTGCAACTCGGGGTCAAAGATGTCAACATTTCACCGGCTTCATGTACTTGAAAGGTTCTAACTAAGCATGAGCATTATTTGTCACATTGGCGAAGATACACTTTAAGAAACTCACCTGGTCCATCTGGACTCCAGTTGCAAACAACATGGCTGCAAGCAAACTCCATCTGCAACACACAGATATTAATTTAAATTGATTGCGACACCATTTAAAAGACCCACAATCTCTTTGGGTTTTTATCTTTAAGAGACAAATGAATCAGATAATGGGGACAAAGAAAGCGAGAAAAGCTGACATATCAGCTTCATGATTATGGTAGATGAGCTTCCTGGCATTGTCAGTGCGTTGTCACCACAGCAGCTGTTCTTTTGGTTTGGTTATTTTTCTTGTTAACAGGTGCCTCAGTAAAACACTTCCTGTTATAAGAACAGGGAAGAAATGAGAAAACATGAGAAGTAATGGCTTCTTGAATGTGAAGAAGGAATAAAAGTTGCATTTTTCTTCAGGTTTGGTTTGTTTGGTTGAAGTATGGCTGCAGACACTGAAACTAGAGCACAGAGCCAATGCCATTGAGGTCAACGTGAAGGAAATGACAGGGTTTAAAGTTCTGAGAACTGTTAAATTATTAACCAGATTTAGATTGTTTTGAATCAGAGCATGGTGGCAGTCACAGAGCAGGCTACAGACTAATGAGCGTTAAAGAGGTCAAACCATAATCTCACACCCCCAACCAAAACCCCCAAACAGCTCTAATGTGACTCCAAAATGATCTCAAAAGCCTATAAAATAAAAACCTGCACATTATTTTAAAGCAAAAAACTCAAAAAGCACCTAACATGCATGTGTTTGGACTGTGGGAGGAGGAAGGAGCACCTGAAGGAAACCAACGAGAAGCCGCAGAGAAAACATGCAAGCTCCACACAGAAAGGCTTCCTGTGAGCCGACAGCCAAACCGCTGCACCGCCCTGCCCTGATATGACTGCACTATCCTGCTGCTGATTAACACGATGCCTTGAGAAATGTGAGGTTTTTGACGTGTACTTTAGTGACCAGCTAAATTTCTTCTACGTGGACCTTAACTAAAGCAAAAAGGAAAAACTAAGGATGACTCTGTGGATACTCAGAGTGATTGGTCAGATAAATATGTTAATTTATGTTTTCAGACAAATGTTTTGGGGCGATCGTGGCTCAAGAGTTGGGAGTTCGCCTTGTAATCGGAAGGTTGCCGGTTCGAGCCCCGGCTCGGACAGTCTCGGTCGTTGTGTC